GAGAGAGAGAGAGAGAGAGAGAGAGAGAGAGAGAGAGAGAGAGAGAGAGAGAGAGAGAGAGAGAAAGGGGCTAGTAGTTACCCACCTGGCAACTTTACGAGCTGAAGTCGCGCTCCTCCTGCTGCTTCTTCGGCTCCTTCAGGAAGACTGTAGTGCCCTGGCTATGGCTGGACGCCGCCGCCTTCGACTGCTGCTGCTGCACAGGAGTCGTGGAGGCAACGGGCAACGCACGGCGGGCGCGAAGGGCACAAAGCTGGACTACCGGGTTTCATCCACGCAGCGAGGGCAGCACTCGGGATTCGAAACTTCAAAAAACAAACCAACTTCAGCTCCCCCCCCTTTTTTTTTTTTTTCCGGGGCCCCGTGCGGCCTAAAATTGTTGTTGTTGTTGTTTTTTGTTTCTTGACGCGACATCCCACTCGAGCCTACAACACCCCTCCCCAACTTTTTTTTTTTTTGCTGACCCCTTATTTTCGAGGTGCGCGCGCGTCGTGCGCGGTGCGGCGCACGTGCAGGATGCCGCGCACCTTGATGCGCCGCAAGTATGGAAAAAAGGATGTTCACCGAATCTGGACATCTCTGATTCTGTTTGCACACCTGGCCATATGAAGTCTGGATGTGATGTCTGATTACCTTCGTTTTCCTAATATGGCATGCAGGATCCTGCGGTTAAATATCTGGGTCAGGGGTTTTCCAAAGATGCTGTAGGTGAGGCTCTAAAAGTGTACAAGGATGATGAAAAAAAGGTAACTAACGAAACTCTGTCTCTCTTTTTTTCTTTTCTTCTTTTTCCTGATAAAGGTCACCTCTGTTTTTCTATCTTCACTACTCTTTTTTTTCCATCGTTTTGCTTACTTCAAAAGAGGCTCTAAGGGGCATATACTCACACAAGGACTTTTTCGCGTGAGCTCTGGACGTGATTACAGTCAGATGCATACAGGTCTGGTGGTAATTGCAGTCAGATACATTTAAGAAAAGTGCTGGTGTGAGTGTGTCCTGAAGGTCTTCAAACGTTTGCTTGCTATTTCCTCACTACTATGTTTTTTTTCAGCCATTTCCAGGTCCCCACCCTGCCCGGCCTTTTTTTTTTTTTTTTTTGGCCTGTTCTTTTCAGCATCATCTCTTTTTTTTCTAGCAAATCCTTGTTTTTTTGAAGCATCCTGTATTTCAGCAGATAAAGATTGATCTACAAATCGCTTTTGGTATTGGCATTTTGTTGATGTGGTTTGGTTATTTCTATTTGTATCTATTTATTGGTGGGGGGGTAATTAACACTTACTACCCCAAAACCCGGGGACGCGTGCCAAAGGGCTCGCAAGAGCCGGGTCCCCGACCGAAGGCGCCGAAGGCGTCATTTGAGTCTCTATATAGATAGGCCGAAGGCGCAAGGTTCCAAAGGCAGACATGGGTTGAAATCGGAACGACACAGAGAATATGATTTGGATGGCCCCTGCCTAAGGATGACATGTATATGCACAAACCTGTATGAACTTGGTTGCCTTGTTTTCTATTCCAAGTCGACCATTTTTTTTTGTTTTTTTTGTTTTTGTAAGGGGGTAGAATGGGGTATTGCAGGTTCACATCTGGTTGAGACATCTTGTCTAGTTTGACCCCTGTTTTCTGTTTTGGTCCCTTGGTCTCGTTCGGTCCCATTGTGTTCCTATTGTGGATTCCGTGGGTCGCGCTCTCACTGTGCAGGTCACAGAGTTCTGCATTAACTACTCGAAGATGATCGAAATGGGGTTTGCTTCACAAAGTATCACGTCATCCCTGGCGATGTACGACAATGACGTGAGGAGGGCACTTGCTCATCTGATTCAGGGAAACGGTACCTGAGTTTATCGACTGTCAGTCTCTGAACTGTCGGAATTGTCCGTCTGAACAATGACGTCAGAATTGTCAGTCTGAGTTCGTCAATTGTCAGGCTGAGTTGGCAACTTGTCGGAGGTTGGTGGGGCTTCTGCTTCTCTCGTTAAACCTGCACCGTAGTTCTGTTGGTTGCCCGGGATCATGGTTGGTCCTCGGCAGAAAGAAGTGACATCTGGTTTTCCTTCCGGCAATGTACTGCCTCTGAACCAATGGCCTGTTTCTCCAATGTGGGCGAGAAGGTTTGTGTCGCTGGCGGGACTTCAATTTTACATAGCAGGTGTGGTCATCCGGGCAGGACTACTT